CGATCGGGAATATACAGTGGTAGGGGGCGCTCACCGATCGTTCATACGGAACTCACTCGTTCCGTTGTGCCTTAAGAGCTCTCTCTCGAGCCCAACCAGCAGCCGCACAGCGGCGCATGATACATAGGCAGAATAACATTATATATATAACATATATAACATATATATATATATTATAGGTATTATACCGTACTCCCGACCTAGATACTTGCTAAAAGCCCAGACACGTGTTTCGCCGTTATTCTGCCGCTGCGTGACACAGCTGCGAGGGGTTCGGCTCTTCAGTGGGACCCCCAGCGTTCTCTAGCGGTTTCTGGTATATGAACTCCAGAGAATAATCAGGTGAATAATTTCTGAGGTAACCATGTACACGATCTGTATACCCAAGGGGAGCGCAAGCGCATCTACCCGCAGAGAATCAGGTGCCAGAGGACACACATCAGGCTGCGAGAGGCGCAGTTTGCTGACCCAGGCATAGCGGACGCTTACAATCCTTGAGGCCCAGAAGGATGACACGCCGCCCTGCATCTGCCTGGGTCATCATCCTTCAGTTTTCGAATGAGAGGCCCTGTCTCACATGCGTGCGAGTGCCATAGGGGGACTCTTTCAGCCTGGCTCTGCGCCCACCTGTCCGCCGCTTCAAACACACACACGACAGTTCGACCGTCGATTTCGACGATGTCCACCATGTGCCCCACAGACTGCATTGTGGGAGCAGGGACGGTGACTTACGCAGGAGTTTATAGTGCCAGTAGACTTGAGCGGCATCTACCTAAACTCTCTCCTCCTCCCCCGCCTGGGCCCGGTGTCAAGACAGAGTCAAGAAGACCGCAGGCGGGAGAGGATACAAGTGGGCATGGCAGACGCATAATAACTGCGCCCTACAAACGCCGCTATCCTAATGTCCCCATTATCCCTCTCTGCCACTGTCACCTACAGTGAGTGACCGATCTCATGCAGCGACAGGCTGCAGCTGGTAAGCCGTCGGGGAATTTACTGGTAGCAATAAATTTTGCTGTCCATGCCTGCTTTAAATTCATTCCGGGGATATATTGCTTCAAATAATTTATCCGCAGTTGAGGGGAAACAAAAAACGTCTTCCTTTGAATATCCCCACCGCCCACGTCGCCGTCATGTCCGGATATCCAACGGAGAACTGGGCGACAGTTTTGCTGTCATTGGTGGAAAATTCGAAACATAACTTGTATTCGAAACCGAAATCGATTTGCATGAGCGTTTTCGGCGAAAGTAAAGCATTGACTAGGTGGGCTAACTCACGAAATGACAACCGAAATTCCGAAATGCGTTTTTGCTTCGAAAAGATTAAGTAAGTAGAGTTGAGAAACTAATCATCAAGCAGCATAGTTCATTATTAATTCAGTTACCCCAGGATGTCGGCTTTCGAACGAACTTCTTTGCGGTTCTCTAGCAGAGATTATACATACAGTGAGTGACTTATCGCATGAAATGTTGGCTGAAATTCTGAAATGCGCTTTCGATTAGGAAGTATTACTTAGGTGGGCTTTTGATGTTTATTATCCCGCGGCATAATCCTGTAGTATTTCCGATTCGGTAGCATATCGGATTTTGAAGGCACTTCTTTTCAATCTCCTGTAAAAACTGTACTTGGTAAAAAATGACTGCTCAAGTAGCATGCATTTTTCACAGTGGTTTTCGATGGTCCCGAAAATTCAAACATGTTTTCTGAAAAACATGAACAAAAGTATTCTTTCTTTCATTCGTTTGATAGAGGATCACGTCAAATTAATATTTTATACTCGAAGAAAGAGTATAATTGAGTTTTAAAAAAGTTTCTAATTATGAGATTTCTTAAGACCCTGCAATGGTCATTCGCACATCATCGTACCTGTCCATTTATCACTGCTCCTCATGATATGTACAACATAGTCCGCATCCATTGCAAAATTTTATGGACTCAATATGACATCTTTTTCAAGGCACAGAGGAATATATGATTTTCCTTACGTGAAACGCATGTGCCTTGTAGGCTGAAATCACTAGGCGCTAGTGAAACGGCTGGTCAGGCTCCAAATTATTCGGAAATAGAAAGCTAAAACTATTCTGATGGGCTTTGTGCGGAAAAACAGTCGCACGCGATGCTTCTCAACGCGAATGCTGTTTGGGTCTCAGTCGAGGATGATGTCCGACGCCGTAAACAATTTCGTCAAAAAGCTCTACGCATATTCTCTATTCTTTATTCCCTTTCTTCAGAAGGCTAGAAGAGCCAGCTATTTTTTATATCAAGGCGAGGGTCAGAGATTATTTTTTTCCGGATCATAACTTAAGGTCGTTTGAGAGCTGTTGTGAATTGTCGCGCTTTAAAGTCCTCCTCACCGAAAGCCCAGGAACAGACATATCCAAGGGAGTAATCTTGGCTATTGTGCGTGTGCGTTTTTGCGCAACTATATTTCATAGCGTGGGGGCTTCGAAATGCTACAGAATATACAGCACCACTCAGGAAAAAGGCATTTTAACAGAAAATGCTGCCATAGTGGTGCTGCATTACTATGCAGACGAAATAAGATTTATTTTCATTTGTTTGCAGTGATATTCTAGCTCTTCACCCACTAATTTCCCAACTACCGTTGTCAATCCAAGAGACGAAGAGATGGAGGAAGTCTCTGGTTGAACTAAAAATATATACAGTAGATGCGTTAACTCATGAAATGTAAACCGAAATTCTGAAATGCGATTTCGACTCGAAAAGATTACTTAAGTGAGGTTGTAATATTAATCCACATGCAACATAATCCCATGATAATTCAGTTACTTCGGGATGCCGACTATGGAATGAGCTTCTTTACGGCCCCTCCAAAAGCTACGCCCTGTAAAAAATGACTACTTAAGTAGTATGAACTTTTCTAATCGAAACCCGATGCCCTCATAAATCTAATTTTGCTTCAGAGAATACGTACATAAAATGTTCATCCTTTCACTTGCTTAGTAGAAAACCCCGTTCTCTTCGAATGCTATACTTGAAGGAAGGGTATGATTCGGTTTTACAAAAGTTTGTAACTATGCGATTTTTTAAGACCGCGAGATGGGCGTTCATTAAACCTCGTGTCCCTGCATTTACT